AAAGAAAAAGAAAAAAGAGGTTGAATTACTTGCTTAGGATCTTACAGTCAGTAAATGTGGGACTGGGATTGGAACCTTGATTGGCCTCTGCCAAAGCCACATACCGTCTTCTTTATGACACTGCCGGTGATACTGCCCAGGCCTGCTTGTGAGCCTTCACTGGAAACCCACTTGCTGGTCAGCCTTGGCCATTCCTGTCCACTTCCCCCTGGACGGTGCTCCCTCATGCATTTCCCCATCCTCCCAGTGTTCAGCTTCTGCATCTCTGCTTCTCCTCCTTCCTCTCTGTCTCAGAACTTCATAAAATCTCTTTCACTCTACATGTTTTCCACACAACTCCGCATTACAATCTACCTTCTCCCATAACTATGCACTGAAGCCATTTCAGTCAGGCAGGGATTCTTAGACCCCTTTTCCTAGCACTGGAAATAACTTATAAGAACTAATTACCATGCCCTGCATGTATATTAATATTACCTCATTCACTTCTCAAAAACACTTGGTTAAGATATTATGATTTTTCTATCATTTACATATGAGAAACCTAAGGCTCAGAAACTTTATGTGCCCCTGCCTTGCTTGGGATCACATAGGTAAGTAGCAGAGCTAGATTGGAATCCAGGTTGGACTTACTGCCAAGCTCATGTTCCTGCCCCACCCTACACCGGCCCCATTGCCTCCCACTGACGCTTCATCTCCAGGGGCTCCAGGGAGAATCAGCTGGCAAGTTAGATTGACAAGAAATCCTAACAACAACAAAACTTCAAATTTTGTTTGTAAGATTTGAAGACATACATTTGCTAAGGACAAACACATGTCTGTAACCTACCTTTAAAACTCCTCTCTCTGAATAGTCTTAATCTATTAAAAGATTGCTTAGCGTTGGTGAATGCAAAACACGATATCCATTGCAGGCACAAAAAGGTGTGATGCCTTTCCTTACCCATAAGGGTCACAGCTGGGATTCTTACAACAACAAAAAAGCTTAACAAGGCAAAGCATAGCATATTCGTTTAATCCAAGTTTTTATAGCATGGGAATCTTCAGAATGAAGACCCAAACACACAATGACACTGTCCACTGTTAGACTTAAGTGGATGAAGACTGTACAAAATAAAATGTGACTGAATAAACAGGGAAAGATCCGATAGTAATAGACTATAGGGGAAACCCCATAAGGCCTTCAGTTTGTATTTTCCGTGGCCTCTCTGTGTGGCTTTTCTTGCTCCTGGGCATGGGGCCACATCCCCCTGGAATGTGGATCTGAGGACCTACTATCAGACAGAGTAGATCCTAGAATTGCTTTTTTTTGTTCTTTCTTTTTTTGAGACCAAAGTTTGCTTCTGTTGCTTAGGCTGGAGTGCAATGGAGAAATCTCGGCTCACTGCAACCTCTGCCTCCTGGGTTCAAGTGAGTCTCCTGCCTCTGTCTCCTGAGTAGCTGGGATTACAAGCACCAGCCACCACAACCAGCTAATTTTTTTTTTTTTTTAGTAGAGACAGGGTTTCACTGTGTTGGCCAGACTGGTCTCGAACTCCTGAGCTCAAGCAATCCGCCTGTCTCGGCCTCCCAAAGTGTTAGGATTACAGGCCTAGGATCTGCTGGGTGTAAGCAGCAGAATTTCTTTATGGACAGCTCCTACAAAGAAAGACCCGGGGGGAGGGGAGGGCTATATTTTAGGTTTTATGGCTGTTTGGGGGCAGAGGCATTTCACTTTCTGTGACCTGCCTGGGGGAAGAGAAATTCTAGTTTCTATGGCTTGCCTTAAGGGAGAAAGGAGAGCAGAAGAAAGTAGAGTGGGAGAAGGTCAAACAGATCTCACTTCTAAGGCCCTTTACGTTTCCTTCAGTTCAAAGGACTCAGCATTGCAAGGCACCGTAGTTTGGAATATTGTGTTCTGGGTCCCAACAATATTCGAGTGAACACAGGAGTGGTAAATGCACTGGGGCTATGTAATGAAGGGTGATCTGTTAGGATTGCATGGGAGGAGGCTTCAGCTGGGTAGCAACACATGGGTAGGATTTGCATAGGAAGAGGGTCTGGGTAAAGGCATTCCTGGTGAACTCCTAGAACCACTACTTCTAGTGGGTAGAGAATCAGAAAGAAGGGTATTGGGGAACAATTGAATATAAGCAGAGGAGTTCCTAAAGTTCTATGTGGGCTCTGGAGCTGCCATTGGTTGGGAGATGAGCCTGTGGGCTTGTCTTAAGGCAAAGCAAGGCTACTGTTTTCACTTAGATTATTTGCTTACCTGGAGTGGATTTGAGTGGCTGATAGACATTATGGAAAGACATGAAGCCTCCCTCCTCTCTTTCAAAACAAACTACCCTCTCTTTGGTGGAACAATTGAAATCAGGAGGACAGACGGGAGTACTACAGAGGACAAGCAATGTACCCTTCTTACCGTATCAGAGAGGGGGCGCTGCAGCTTGCAGAGAACAGGAGTGCTGGAATTTCGGGTTCAATTCAGTGATCCTTACTCCCATTCCAGACTCTGCTCCAGGTTATCACACAGCATGCATCAGCACCAAGCTACCTCTGAGAGCCAGCATACAGAGTGGGTGAGTGGGAGAGGCCCCAGTGTGCCTGGGGAAACTGAGGCAGGAGACAGGGACATGAACTTGGAAGTTATGTATGCAGGAACAAAGGAATGAGGGCTAGACCTGGGCAGTGGGAATCAGGGCAATGAGAATGAGGAATAGACATGAGACATACCGCCAGTTGGTTGAGCCAGCAGACACTTATCTTGAAAAGGTTCATGAAAACCCATCTTTATGCTATACAGGTTGCCTTTTGTTCAAGACTTTCTTCCATGGAAGAAAACCACAACTTGAAACAAGACCCTTCACCACCTGCACTTTCTTCAAAGTGTACATGAGGAGAGACTGTTGAGCCACTGGTGGGACTATCTGATCATATTACTCATTTTTCTAAAGCTCTTCTTCCTTTGCTGAATGACTGGACGCTCACATCTCTGGTTGGGCATCTTCAGTTCCCCATGTGTGCGCGTGCACACACACACACATACACACACACACACACACACACACACAGAGTCTCCTCTCTTCTTTAAAAGTGTTCCGATTCTGCAAAGCAGATCTGCCCTATGATGTCATAAACCATGAAGTCTTGAACCCTCAGGTGGGTTTTTTTCTAAGTAGGCTTTGTTATGAGCAGTACCAGACTAAGTGATACTTGCCCACACATAACGTATTTGGTTCTTATGGCTCTGGGGGCGTGTGTGTGTGTGTGTGTGTGTGTGTGTTTGTGAGAGAGAGAGAGGAAGGAGCAGGGGAAGATATACAACACTCCTCGGGAAAAGAGTGCAATTGCTCGTGTCACACAAAAAGTATGCAGACTTTTCCAAGAATTGGGGAGGAATAAGATTTGGCAGAAAAGTAAAGCCATATCCAATCAATCAACCTTGGATGAATTTAAAGATGCTCCTTGCAGTTAGGACTCTGGTGCTGAGACTTAGTCATTATTAGATTTTAATATTAGGCATAACGTCTGGATGCAGTGGTTCACACCTGTGATTCCAGCAGTTTGGGATGCCGAAGCAGGCAGATCACTGGAGGTCAGGCGTTTGAGACCAGCCTTGCCAACATGGTGAAACCCAGTCTCTCCTACAAGTACAAAAATTAGCTGGGCATGGTGGCAGGTGCCTGTAATCCCAGCTATTTAGAAGGCTGAGGCAGGAGAATTGCTTTAACTCGGGAGGAGGAGGTTGCAGTGAGCTGAGATCTTACCACTGCACTCTGGCCCGGGCAACAGAGCAAGACTCTGTCTAAAAAAAAAAAAATTAGGCATAGAATCTAAGAACAAATTAACCTCAAATTTATTATATAAACCTCAAATTTATTATATAAATGTATATAAAATAAGATGCAAAACCATGTTTTACATCTATCCAAGAAATCTTTGTTCTATTTTATAGGAGCACAAAGATTTTCTTTACAGAATTTTTTATCAGGAAAAAGATTGAAAATAGTCCAAACATCTATGTCCTGTGTCAAAAAAAGGAAAAAAGAAAGAAAAAGTAGGTTTGTCACCATGAACATGGCTCTATAGATTTTTTAAAAATTAAAGTTCGAACAAGGACCAGATTGAATAGGCCAATTTTTATCCTTTAGGACTAAGGATGTTGATACCATCAAGCCTCAGACATCTGTTGAGATTATCGACTACATTTTTCCAATGTCGGCCTACACATGGGGGCCATTCTGAAATATAGTTTCTCCACTCTGTGTTGATGTGAGAAAAAAAAAAAAGTTTTATTGCTGGTTTTGAGGGAGACCCAAAGGTGTATCATAGAACACTAGCTTCTATGGCCTGCCTTGAGGGAAGTAGTGGAGCAAGAGAAAGACAGGCAGGAGAAGGCGAGAAAGAGACTTCACTTCTGCACCCCTTTTAATGTCCTTCAGTTTAAAGTACTCAGTATGCCAAAGAGCCATATTCAGGGCTATCTTTTTCTGTGCCAAGCCAACACCACCAAACCAGAAAGAAGTAAGCATAGGTAATCCAAGGCTTCATTCAACCCATCTCTTCCTAGGCTTCTCCTCTATCTCTTCCACCCTGGGAGCATTTTCTTTTATAGAACTAATGCAACTGAGCAGAGAGAGGCTGGCCTATCCAGAGACCAGATAGGATGCCCATATTTTATTTTCAGTTGTGCCAATGTCCTGCATGGGACTCCCAGAACTCACTGGATGCCCCTGGGCACGAGCTTCTTAGGCATGCCATATAATTAATAGCAGTCTGCTTCTATGCAGGTAGGTATCCTGCAAAGAAATTTTGTATGAAATGTGTCTGCATGTTGTACTCACTGTTGCATTGTTTACCCATGTAGTGACCTTCATAAATGGCTCTGCAAAAGTCACAAGGGAGTAATCGAGTTAGCAGGCACTTTGTTCCCCTCCTTTATCAGATTCTGCTCTGATTTGCTATATAAAGTTGTGTAATCACCTGGAAATGTGCACTGTGCTCCCACATGCTTTTCAAATGCAAATGAGCAGGTTAACAACCCCAGTGTTGCAATGTTCTAGCCTTAAATATATTTGGATAACCCAGCAGAGCCATTTTGCCTTTGGGAACAGGGCAGCTAGCCTATGGCAGCAGGAATCCAACAAGGTCCCTGAGTGCTGAGGCAGAGAGGAGGAGAAAAGAAACAAGAGGCTGGAGATTGCCAAATTCAGCATCCCGCTTGGCTCCTGATTATTGGTGAAACCATCTCTTAGCTCCTAGAAGGAGAGTGTTAGATCATGAAACTAATTACCATCCTTTTCCTCTGCTCCAGGCTGCTACTAGGTTTAACCCAGGAATTACAGTCTGAGGAAATTGACTGCAATGACAAGGATTTATTTGAGGCTGTGGATGCTGCTCTGAAGAAATATAACAATCAAAACCTAACTACCAACCAGTTTGTATTGTACCGCATAACTGAAGGCACTAAGATGGTGAGTGAACTGTGTTTAACCTTGAAGTCACCTGGGATTTGTATTATCACTAGGAGCCCAGGCCACACACACACACACACACGCAACCAACACCACCACCACCACCACCACCACTACCACTACCACCAAAGAGGAGATAATCAAAAGGAGATAATCAAAGGTAGAACTTGTGGAAAGACCAATACCACTCTCTGGCCTGGGGAGGGAGGACAGAGTATGACTCATCCTCAGGCAGGCTGGCTTCCTGGATGATCAGAAAAGTAGAATCTAGGGTGAAATGAAGCAAAAGTAGATGGAGAAATCTGAATAGGACCAAGCAGAGTGGGAGAATTTAGGAATTTAGTTATACTGCGCCAAAAGAATTCACTGCGTCTCTGGCCCTAAACTAAAAAATATAGACCTCCAAACCTTAAATGGGAGGGGGTACTTCATGGGGTATGTATAAGAGGAGTCAGGAATTAGATTAGTGTGATTCTACGGAATTAGAAGTCTGCATGGCTGAATGCATCAGGTTTAACACAACGTTTTAGTTGGTTTTTGATATTTTTATTACTGCAATGATTCACTCCAGTAGGAGACAAATTCTGGCAGAACGCATGGTTCAAAGAAATACCAATCTTTCAAGAGTATGTTTAAATAAATTTCATTATAAAAGACTGTATCTCTGGGACATGTAAGCAACTGGTTGCTTTAGCAGGAAAAAAAAAAAAACGTGAAAACAAGGGGATAAAGAAAAAAACACAGTGGACACATAATTTTTTCTGAAAGTAAAATCAAGCCATTTTGTTTCATAATCTAATATAGTCATGTGAGAAATTCTGCTTCATGGTGATCTCAAACAATTTTTTGGCGGTGTGGTTCCCAATAGATTGTGGGTATGATTGTAAATATACTGAAAAACATTAAATTGTATACCTTTAGTGGGTAAATTGTATGGCATGTAAATTACATCTCAATAAAGCTATTTAAAAAAGAAAAAGTAGGCGGGGCATGGCGGCTCACGCCAGTAATCCCAGCACTTTGGGAGGCCGAGGAGGGTGGATCATGAGGTCAAGAGATTGAGACCATCCTGGCCAACATGGTGAAACCCGTCTCTACTAAAAAATACAAAAATTAGCTGGGCGTGGTGTTGCACGCCTGTAGTCCCAGCTACTCGAGAGGCTGAGGCAGGAGGATTGCCTGAACACAGGAGGCGGAGGTTGCAGTGAGCCGAGATCGCGCCA